TTACGGGTCATTTAGGATGTTTTGTCACGCAGTTTACTTGTGCTATATAACTTTACTTTTAAGAACAACCTTTTGCTTTGGAAAGAGAGGAAAAAGACCAAAAAGAGCAAATATATATTCCAAATATATGGGCAATTTTTTCCAATGATATCAATACCTTCTATATACTCGTTCCCTTTCCTTCACTTGTTTCTAAAGTGGCCAATTGTCGTTTTCCTGGGATCCCTGAGGTTTTAGTTGTACGAAGGGTGGATAGCAATATGGCCAACAGATAAATACTTATCCAGAGGATAAGTTAATGCTGTTATTCAATAAATTTATCCGCTGGATAATATTTGTCCATGGGATAGCGCTATCCATCCTTCCTATACAACCGGGTCCAGGTTTCTAAGCTAGATTCAAGATGGTGGACAATTTTAAGGTGAATGCGTACTTTTGAAAAAAAATGTAAACTTGTTTTAAAACTACATCCTTTTAAAGTGAAATTTACTGAGGTGGTGGAACAACTCTACCATGGAGAAGTGCATGTTTTCTGGCAACACTATAACGATATCTAGTTAGCTCTGGGATCCACGTCTTCAGTGCACCAAATGTCACCTTATCACTGAGTCATTATCGAGAGGATTTGTCGCCTAGTTCTCCACGTACTTGCATTCTGGTAGCACTCTGCTAAAGCCTTCATAAGCGCTTATTCACTATCATCTTCTTCCAAAACCGTTCATTTCATAGTCATCTGATTCCACATCAGAGCTGTTTTCAGAAGAATCAGAGTCGTATTCGGAATCACTGGACAGGAATTATGTGCTACTATCATTGGAATTAATTCTTTCATCCCTAGGTGTTTCAGCAAGAGCAAGATTAAGGACAAATGCTACCAGCTCTGACTTGGTGTTCATCTTTCCAGTTAATGTTTGGAAGGGTGTTTCGTTCAGCTTTCCTTTTTTGAGCTTTCAATTCAAGAAACTCAAGATGTTGTACAAAGCATTTAAGAGTGGTTTCGTCAACCATCAATTTCTGGCACACCTCCTGCATTTCATTCATGTTGCTTTTATATACATTTCGAATAATAAGTGATTAATGAGTGATTTTACTTTGAGCCCCCCCTATCTTAGCATCAATTTTATGTGATCCCCCTCCCTCTGGTTTTTTAGCCCCCCACCCCCCC